TATGTTGATTGTGTATGGTGTGTTGTTGATGTTGATGGTGTATGTTGTTGTGTGTTGTGTATGTTGTTGATGTGTGTTGTTTGTTGATGTTTTTGATGCTGCTTTTGTGGTTTGTTGATGTTGTCGTTGATGTTGTCGTTGTTGTTGTTGTCGTCGTCACTGAAAATGAGCACCAGCTAAGAGAGTTTTGTTCTCTCTGGTTCATTGTATGCTTACGCTTCGTTTTCATCCCACTTATAAAGTTGAATTTAAAAATTCAAAATGGCGTCATCATCCTCGTTGTCATCATCGTCGTTGTCCCCATCCAGGCACGCAGAGCCATAGGGGACTTCGGAGTGCCCATCTCTATAATGGTAGTGGCCCTCATTGACTATCTTATACCCAACACGTACACGGAGGTGTTTTGTTGTTGTTGTTGCTGCTGCTGTTGCTGTTGTTGTTGTTGCTGTTGTTGTTGTTGCAGTTGTCCTTCCTTGTTAGTGACATGAACTTTGAACTCACCATCTCGACCTCCTAACTACTTAACTTGTTATTGATTTTAAAATTTCGCATTCACCTTTAAACTTGACCTACATTTAAATTTGACCTTTGCTGATGGCCTACTAATCTATTGCTAAGTTTAACTTCGTATAATGGATTGACCTAGAAAAAGTAGTGATCAGCTATTAAACGTAGAATTTGACTTTGACCTAGAAACTGGACGTGCCAGAGGGTTTCACCCCAACGGCCCCCCACAAAAGGTCGTGGGTCATCAACCCTCTGGGAAGTTCAACCACCCTGTCACCCTGGCTCATGTTCGGGGCCATCGTTCCGTCCGTTCTCATTTTCATACTGCTGTATATGGAGTCTGTGATTACCAGGTGGCTGGTTGGTTGGTTGGCTGGTTGATCGGTTGCCACACACACGGACACACCACACACACATGCACACACGCACACACACACACAGCATGATAGTAAACAAAAAAGACCGCCTTCTGAAGAAAGGATCGGGCTATCACTTGGACCTCTTCGTCACTGGACTCTGCGCGTCCATCTGCGGCCTACTGGGACTGCCCTTCATGTGCTCTGCCACCGTTCGATCAGTCACGCACGTGTCCGCACTGTCCGTCTACAGCAGGACCCACGCTCCAGGGGTCAAGCCCCACCTCGTCAAGGTCGTCGAACAGCGGGTCACGTCCCTGGCTGTCCACCTATTAGTCGGTTCGTGGCGGGGGTTATTTTTGTTCTTTGTTGTTTATTTTTGTTCTTTGTTGTTTATTTTTGTTCTTTGCTCTTTTTTTTGTTCTTTGTTGTTTATTTTTGTTCTTTGTTTTTGTTCTTTGTTGTTTATTTTTTGTTATTTGTTGTTTATTTTTATTATTATTTTTTATTTTTTGTTGTGTGGTCCTACTGACGAACGAACAGATGAAAAAAATGCAAACAAAAATTTTAAACAACAAAACCACAATCCCACCAAATACTAACAACAACAACAACGCCAACAACAACAACAACAAACCTTCCAAAACTGCAAAGGCAACAACAACAAACAGCAAACAAACAACACCAAACAATTTTCAAAACCTCAACAACAACAAACAAACAAACATCACCTGAGAACCACCACCAACACGAAAACAACACATGAGAACCACCACCACCAACACGACAACAACACCTGAGAACCACCACCAACACGACAACAACACCTGAGAACCACCACCACCAACACAACAATAAAACAGGCGTTTCCGTACTGATGGGGCCGATGTTGAAGCAGGTGCCACTGGCGGTCCTGTTCGGCATCTTCCTCTACATGGGGATAGCCTCTATGACGGGTATCCAGCTTGTCAAGAGGTGCAAGTTGGCCTTCATGCCAGTCAAACATCACCCGGATGTTGGATACGTTAAGAGGGTCGGTGGGCAAGATGTGATGACGGAAGTGGGATGATGAGGATGGGATGATGGGTTGTGATGACGGAAGTGGGAGGATGAGGATGGGATGATGGGTTGTGATGACGGAAGTGGGATGGTGAGGATGTGAGGATGGGATGTGATGACGGAATGGCGGGCTTGTTGTGTATATGTTGATCACAATTACACACGGACACACACTAACATCCAACATCACACACACACACACACACACGACACGTTCCGTAGGTGAGGCTACTTTTTTTATATCACACACGCACGCACACACACACACACACACGCACACACACGAGCGCACACGCACGCACACAAACACAGGTAAGACTACGGAAGATGAACCTCTTCACCTTTCTTCAACTCCTCTTCCTGGCCATTCTCTGGATCGTCAAGTCCACCAAAGCCGCACTCGCCTTCCCGTTCATCCTCATTCTCATCATTCCCATCCGGATATTCGCATTCAAATTGATCTTTACGGAACTGGAATTGCATGAAGTCCGTGAATGTTTTGCCGTTCATTCATTTATTCGTTCGTTCGTTCGTTCGTTCGTTCATTCATGCATTCATTTATTCGTTCGTTCGTTCGTTCATTCATGCATTCATTTATTCGTTCGTTCGTTCGTTCGTTCGTTCGTTCATTCATGCATTCATTTATTCGTTCGTTCGTTCGTTCGTTCGTTCATTCATTTATTCGTTCGTTCGTTCGTTCATGCATGCATTCATTCATTTATTTGTTCGTCCGTTCATTCTGTCATTCGGTTAATGGTTCACATATTCGTCCAATCGTTCATTTGTTAGTTTAGTTTAGTTTTGTTTATTTATACATGATACATTTATTTATTTATGATACATTCGCTTGTTCATTCATTTATTCAGTTGTTTATTTATTTATTCATTCATTCATTAATTCATTCATTCATTCATTTTTTCAACCATTCAACCAGCTGGACAAGGAAGAGGACTGTCCGTCGGAAGATGAGGAGGTAGAGCCTGACTTCTACACTCAGGCTCACATGCCTATCTGATCCATCCATCCATCCATCCATCCATCCATCCATCCATCCATCCATCCATCCATCCATCCATCCATCCATCCGTCCATCCATCATTCGTCACTTATTTATTTCTCATTCGTCCGTTCGTTCGTTCGTTCATTCGTTCATTCATTCATTCATTCTTCAATCATTCGTTCATTCATTTATTCGTTTTTATTAGGTAGTTAATTAATTAAACTGTTGATCAAATTAATTAATTAATTAATTAATTAATTGTTTAATTAGTTAAAAGATAATTTAGTCCATCCTGTCAACTACAGTGTAGTTTTTTGGTATTTAAAGCGGCCCGTCTGTAATTGGACGATATTCAATTAGCTGATCAATTAATTAACCAATTAGTTAATCGATTAGTGTATCATATAAATTGATCGTTTAATTAATCAACTAATTGATCAATCAATCAATCAACTCAATTGTGAATCAATCGGAGATTGTTAAGGAATCAAATCAATCTAGGAATTAACTTTCAAAAATAAAATTTGCCAAATGAAAAATATTAATCAGTCAATAAATCAATCAACCAACCAATCAATCAACCAACCAACCAAACCAATCAACCAATCAATCAACCAACCAAACCAATCAATCAATTTATCAATCAATCGATCGATCAACTGATTAATCAATCAATCAATTATTTAGCTGATTAATTAATCAATCAATCAATCAACCAATCAAAAAACCCGTTTATTCTACCTAGCTTTTCAATGTATGCTACATATTTCCATGATTTTCTATACTGATAACATAATTATCATATTTGGCACGATCTGTCTATCAATGAAATCTCATTTTATATACCATCTTCTATATATATGTACCAGAAATTTTGGTAAATATTGCTACGCAAGGTAGTTTTTTTTGTTAAACTATTCTATTAAAAATTTGGTGGCGCTTGTATGTTTATGTTTGTTTGTATGTGTTTTGTATTTGTATGATTTAGTATGTTTGTGTTTGTTTGTTTGATATTTACCACTGAATTTACTCTCTTCCGTATTTTCCCAAAGAGTTCTCAATTTTTAAATTAGAAAAAAAACTTTTCTTTATATTCTTTGTTGTTGTCGGCATTGTTTTGATGTTATTGTTATTAGTGATGACGTAATTTATATTAATGTTGTTGTTGTTGTTGTTTATATTATTGTTTACTCTTTTGTTCAATTTGTAACAACAACAAATAAATGGACATAGACATTTTAATGTTTTAATGAACATAGACATTTTAATGGACATAGACATTTAAAAAAAAACTTATTTTCGCACATTATCGCCATGGTGACTACTTTAACAATCTATGTTTTTTTTCTTGGTCATTATGCCAGTTTATTAATTTATTCATAACATTATTTTATATAAATAATTAATTAATTAATTATTTAATGAATATTTTGTTTATTTATTGAAATTTTGTTAAAGTTATTTAGGTATCTAAGGACTCATTTTGTTATTTATAAATTTTATACTTCTTTGATAGCTATTTGTTCACATTTTCGTTCGTTCGTTCGTTCGTTCGTTCGTTCGTTTATTCATTCATTCATAAATTCATTCTTTCGTTAAATAAATAATTCATTCATTCCTGTGTTCATTCATTCACTAAGTCATTTATTTATTCGTTCATTCCTTGATTCATACATTCTTCTTCAAAGGTCGACCAGTGTTACTGACATTTGTATCTTTTAAACACACACACGCACACACACACACACGAACACACACGCACGCACGCACGCACACACAAGTTTCTCAAAGGCTCACATTACATACATATACATATATAAATAAATATATTTATGTTTTCATTTTTTTTTATGTGCTATTAATTAATTATTTAACTAACCTACTAATTCATTTACTAACTAATCCATTCATCTATTCATTCATTCACTCATTCATTCATTCTTTCTTTCATTCATTCACAGACGCTTTTTTACTACTCATATACTTCTTTGTTATTCATTCTCTTTCATTGGTGTATAACATTCAGTATGGATTTATCGTAGCCACACACACACACACACACACGCACACAACACATAGACACACACACATACAAACACACACACACACACGCATTTAATTTATATAGCGTAAAATTCTTGGTGATTAACATTATGTGATGTAAATGAAAGAAGTCTCTTTTTATTCCTTTACTTTCGTTCGTCCGTTCGTTCATTCAATCATTCGTTGATAAATGGTTTTTATTGAAATGTTATGGTTACTATTATTTATACAACTTACATACATTAGCTATATTAGAAATACATATATTTATGTTATTTCAAAAGCCTTTAAATATTTGTGTGTGCGTGCGTGTGTGTGTACGTGCGTGTGTGTGTGCGCGCGTGTAACTAATTTAGTAGTCGATTAATTGAATACTGATAATTTGTTTTTTTTTCGTGTTTTTTTTTTTAATTTTCATTAATCTGCCTTGAAAACGTAAAACAATGTATCTCTGTAGTATGTTAGTGTGTGTGTACGTGTGTTTGTGTGTGTGTATGTTTGTGTATATGTGTGTGTGCGTGTGTGTGTGTGTGTGTGTGCGTACAATCTTTTGTTGCATTTGGTTAAAATGACTATGCCATTTATTGTTATTTATAATTACAATCTACGAAATTCTCATTCGGAAAGTTATCCATTTATTGGTGGTTTATTTTTAATAATAATAGAATAAATTTAATTAATTATTAATAATGATAATGTGCTGATTCTTTTTTTATTATTATTTCATTTTTTTTTAGAAATAAAAATAGTAATAGAATACATTTTAAATAATTAATTAATAAATAGTAATAATGTGTTGAATTCTTTTTTTATTATTATTTCATTTTTTTTAAAAATAAAAGTATGTCAAAAAAAAACTTTATACGTCTTATGCCCAGAAAGGAAAATTCGATCCCACATGTTGCTCTGTCTTTTGAGTTTTCGCACCGTCCTCAACAACTCTGACCCAAGCTCGCTTTTAATTATGCAAAACAGAGAAACGCATTCGATAACCCTGATGCCCCCCCATAATCCCTGACTAAATCATTTTTATTCACATTTTTATAAAATTAATAATTTTATCGGTTAACGCAATGAATAAAAATGTTTAAAAAGCGAATAATCTAATGAATAATCTTTAATTAAGTCAGCCAATGAAATAAATCTGAGTTTGACATAAAAATTATACTGCATTGCTCCTCTGCTAGATATTTTAACCAGTTATATTGCAGATATTACAAATTGGAAGCAGTGAACAAGTTTTCATTAAATTTCAAAAGAATTATTCTCATTCTGAAAAGATATTATAGGAGGTTGGTAACGTTTTAGGCCATTTTGGAGAATCTTAAGACATTCAAAATAATAGTTTCGGACTGGCCGGTGGCATTCTGAAGAAACAGATTTGTCCTTCCAACCAGATACTGAGAAGGGCAAGGTACATCTGCAGCTCCAAAGATTTCAAACTAAATTTAAAATTTTTAATCTTATAGTTTTACGATGACGTCATCCGGAACATTTGTTGACATCTTTTGTTTACAGTCTGTGATAGTTTGCGTATTGCCTTTTTTCAAGTATTTTAGCTATTCTATTGTGGTTATCACTCCTAGTGGATAGTGAGTTAGCTCGATTTAGCCAACTTCATACAGCTAGCTGGCCGGCCTTCGCCGCTACTATGGCGTTAGAAATATGATATTTCAATTCCAATAACAACTTTTGACTTGCTTTACGCAAATAAATAACTTCTAACTAACTTAATAATTAAAAATGTTATTAATAATATTAATAAAAAAACATTTAAATTGATAATAGTAAAAATATTAATTATTATTAATTATTATTATTATTATTAAGCGATTACGGATTCTTCACACATTCATCGTCGTCATACAAAACGTATGTGGCCAGCAGCTGGCATCCCGGAACCTTAGGTCCCCCCAGAGGGGAGGGTGGTCAGGACCGGAGGGATTGCCATTTGACTGCGGCGTCTACGAAGTTGCAAGGAGACAATAATGATCATATTTAATTATATTATAATAATATATAATTATTATATTATATTATACATTATTATTATATATTATATTAGATTATTATACGTTGTATTATATATTAATTGTCAGAGTAATTTAACAGCATTACCTTACTATTTATTGATTCATTTAATTAATTAATATATTTATTTATTAATTTATTTTTTATTATGACAAATTTATGAATTGTGTTTCAGTTTCCAGATATATAATTAATATCGTTCTTTAAATTCACTGTTTAGTTAAGGTAGTCCGCACATACAGCTGTAACGTGATCTACTGTACTATTGCCAAATAAAATTTTTATAGAGGGATAGATTCTTCTTCTTTCTCGTGCCTTACCCTTTCATGGCATGGGCGACCATCGACCTCCACAAAACCCGATCTTGAACACTTTGTAGTTGTTGAAATGTGGTGATATTCAACAAGTGACACAAGGACTTCACGAATGTTATTCGTTGTTGACTGCGATCCCTTCTCCCTGCAATCTTTTCAGTAGTTGTTAGATTTTCCATTCTTTCCTTCCGCATGATGTGACCAAAAAACTTTAACTGTCCCCGTCGGGATAGGTTAGTTAAGGGGTTACTATCCGGCTGAAACGACACCCACAGTTAAAAATTTTGCAAAGTTTAAGGCTAAAATTAAGGAAACCACTTTTAAAAATTTGGACTGTAAATTATTTCAGCCCGCCACAACAGAGAAATTATGGAAAATTTTAGAAGAAACCATTTACTTTAATATAGAAATTAGTTGAAAAATCAGTGATAAACAATAAAAAGTTTCACATTTTTTTACGTTTAACTCCCCGACCGCAGCTAATTTCTGCTTGCCCTACTGAATATTATTGATAATAAATTAAAAAATAATCATAGAAATAATAATAAACTCAATAATAATAATAATAATAAAATTACTTAGCCAACACAAGAGCGCTTCACCTGTCTCGAAAAATAAGGAGGATCCGGTCAATATGACTACAAGGTCGTTAATCGATAATAATGATTATAATAATAATAATAAAAGTGATATTTATAATACTGCCCATAAAATCAATTGAAATATCCATTGTATTATGAATCAAACTAATATTTTTTTTATATATTATTAATAATAATGATAATATTAATAATTATGTAGTATCTTAATTGATAACTATTATAATACTAGTGATGGTGTTAGCAATGGTTATTGAGACACCATGCTGATATGGTAGGCAGGGATCTCTGATCATTCGAATCCCGTCCCTGCAACATCCGTCACTGGCATCTAAATAAACCACTACACTCAATGACGGGTCTAGGGGGGCCAGTGCCCCTCCCGTTGTGAGCAATTTTTTAATAATAGTCAGAAAAAGAACCGTTTTAGGCAGAAAATCGACCAAAAATTCAACATGATAAGCAAAAAATACATCGTCAGCCACACTATTACAAATCCTGACCCCACCCCCCCTCCCAAAAAAAAATTTGCCCTTTCCCGTAAAATTTTGGCTCCTTCCGTAAAATTTTGAACATTTTCAAAATTTTGGCTCCCTCTCGTCAAAGTTGTCTAGATCCGCCACTGATTACACCACACATATATTTTTAATACTTGCCAGCAGAAAGAAATCAGTTGACACGAGCGCCGAAAAGAAATTCAGTCAGAAATCAAGTATGCAGAAGTCAAGTTCCCAGAAATCAAATTCCCAGAGACTTAGTTCCCAGAAACCAATCGAAAAGGATTTAAAGTCAAAACTTTTATTACTATTTACCTAGCCAAATAGGGATGTGTAGGGGGCATTTACACCCCACCCCCGAAAATTTTTTGATGCTATGATTAAAAATAAGGGGTAGACATTTGGGCTAGTTTGGAAATAAACATTTTAAAAACAATGGTCGCCAACTGTTTTTTTCTGTACCACCCAAAAGAAATTATAGTTTATATTATTGCAATCCTGTAATAATTTCATACATTAATAATATATAGTAAGATAATTATTAATAATTATGTAGCAGTAGCAGTAATAATTATAATTATAATTATGACAGATGTGCGCTGACAGACAGCGCAATCGTGTTCAAAGATAATGAATTTTTAGAAGTGTGTTTCCATTTTTTCTGCCCGTTTCTGCGACTTTATTTGTATGTTTGTGTGCCTCTCTATTTTTCAACTGTTTGTCTATGTGTCTATATGTCTATATGTATGTGTCTATGTGTATGTGTCTATATGTCTGTGTATGTGTCTATATATGTTTGTGTCTATATATGTATGTGTCTATATATATATGTTCGTCTGAATGTCTGTATGTTTTTATATCTGTATAAGTGTCAATTATTTATTTATTAGCATAAATTCAAATTATAAAATTATTGACTTATTTTCGTGTTCTCTAGGACTGCGCAAAGTATTGTGTACATTAATTATTCTATTGGTTCATTCATTCATTCTTCATTCATTCATTCATTCATCCACCCATTCATTCATTCACTCATCCACCCTTACAATAGATAATACACAGATCCACACAATACAACATACGCTACACGCCTACTTAACTAACAACTCGTTATCCCATTCAAAAACACTGTCACCAACAAGAATATCGTGAAGCATTCAATATCCAACAAAGTGAACTTTACATCGCCGAGAAGATGCAACTGGACCCGCGGACTCCACTGAATCCGGCATATCGCGACCGATCTCGGAGTGCCGTCTTCAAAAGGTTTTCCCCTGCCAAAAATGTATCCGATCAGTCGGATGATTGTCTCCACCCGACTGGACGTTACAGTGGGCCAGTTTTTTTTCCGCCAGATGGACCGCATGGTTTTCCACCAATTTCGCGATTTTTCCAATCAAAGGAGCACAAATTCGTTCAGGAACAACTCACAAAACAGCAGGAGCAGCGGGAGGGTCCGCTTCCAGAAAGTCGACCGCCGATATGTCAGGGGCAACGAAGTCTGGAAAAGATGGTTCAAAAGCAACTGAGGCGGCAGGAGGAAGAACGTAACAACCTAATGCGTAAATTTCAAAAGACGTTACAGAAAATAAAAAAATTTAATCAGCAGCGGCAAAAAAACCGCAAGAACAACCACAACAGAAACCACAACAGCAGCCAGAGCAGCAACTGCAACAGCTGCTACAACGGCAACCACAACAACAACCACAACAGCAGCCAGAACAGCAACCACAACAGCTACTACAACGGCAACCACAACAACAACCGCAACAACCACAACAGCAGCCAGAGCAGCTACCACAACAGCTGCTACAACGGCTACCACAACAGCAGCCAGAGCAGCAACCAAAACAGCTGCTACAACGGTCACCACAACACCTACTACAACAGCGACCACAACAGCAGCCAGTACAACAACCACGAGAGCAGCCACAACTGCAAGAAAAGAAAAAATTGACGCCCGCTACATTTAGGTGAAATAATAATATTTATAATGATAATAATAAATAATAGTTAACAATAAAAAAAAGGAAGAAGAAGAAAAAAAAGAGTAATAAAAAAGATAATAAGAAAAGAAGTATATTGAACCTCCATTATGGGTCCCACATAATATTTTGTTACTTGAAATCGTAGTTGGTGTAAGTGGCAGAAGTCCTCGTAAGACGGCTGTGAACTATCCGGAACGAGAGCTTGGAGTGACAAGGGTATTCCAACGTTTTAAGGAATTGTAGCGCGCTCAGTTCCATTTGAAAGATGTAAAATTTTATTTGCAGTTTGGAAATTTACCGTTTTGAAGTTGGCGACTTAGAAATATTACTTAAAATTCTAAATTAAATATTTTCAAAATAAAAATAAATTTGTCTTATTGTATTAGCAAACATATTTGAAAAGCTCTATCGGTTAATTAGCTTTTTGTATCACGTATCATTCACAAAGGGACCTGGAAATGGAAAGCGAGTGGCTGGAATTGAGTGCTTGGTTAAGACGGAAGAGAGAGGTCAAACAGCAACAAAAACTTGGCTATCTGCAATTTGATAAAAAAGAAAAACAACAAGATCAACACAACCAGCAACAACAATCTCAACAACAATTTCAACAACAACAACCTCAACAACAAAAACAAGTTCAATTGAAACTGCAACAGTTTCAACCACAACAAAAACAGGATCAACAGCAACGAAGGCAACTTCAACAACTGCAACAACTGCAAAAACAATTTCAACAGCAACAAAAACAAATTCAACAAGATCCGAGTACAACTTCAACAACTGCAAAAACAACTTCAACAACAACGTAAACAATACCGAAAACTGCGAGAACAATTTCAACCACAACAGCGTGAAAAAGTCAAGCTCAACCAAAACAAAATCAAGTCTAACCCCTACAAAAAATTCAACAACAACAATGACAACAAAAAGACTAACAACAACATTATAAACAATTCATCCGCTATTTGTTCATTCACAACTAAACTAGCAACAAAATGATAAATGTATCTCTTTCCACTGCACATTCCACGGACATCCAAAATGAACCAAACTTATTAGTAGATAGTCCATATATAAATATAACATATATATATATATATATATATATATATATATATATATTTATATTTATATATATACATATATATAGTAGGCTACGTTTTAAATATAAATTTTTCGAAACGTAGACAAACTATATCAATTCTTTAAAACCAACTGTTGAAAATTACGTAAAATTTTAGTAATTTAATATAATAATACACAAAAGTCAGAGGGCTTTTTATAAGGAGATAATGAAAGATTATTTGGAAATTGCCATTGTGTAATAAAATTTCAATTGTATGAAAAATGAGATGATTTCAACATGTATATATATAATATATATTTAAATCCATGATTCTCAAACGATTAACAAATATTTTTAACTGTAGATTAGAGTGGGAATCCATGTGTATGATGGACATATATAAAGAGAATATATACATACACTCTATATACGTATATATATATAGTATATATACCTTTTAAATATATATATATATTCTGTGTATATGATGATGAATTGAAAAATTATTTGCAGGCATATATTTTTCCAAAACTTTTGATTCTTTGGCTTGTTTTATTTTCACCAAATTCAAATTCTGCTACTGTGATAGTCGATAATAGATGATTCGATTTTTTTTAATTTAAAATTTTTTAAACTATTGATTTTTAGTATATTTAACTTTATCAATTAATTAAATATTTAAATTATGTCGAAATATCAATTTTGTTACGGCCGCAGAGGTGAAAAGAAAAAAATTGACGACAGATGGGAGGCAGTGTGCAAGAAGGCCCAAAGGATTAATTTGTCATCCAGGTTTTACGCTTATTTTATTTAATAATTTAAAAAGGATTAATAAATAAATAATTTATATCATATAATAATTATTTATAATATTGATTATTGATTGACTAATGACTAAATTTCAAAATGAAGAAAAACTAATATTTGCCTTTTTTATTAATTAAAATTTAAATTATTAAATTAAATAAAATAAGTGTAATTATATTATATTATTATATCATTATATTATATTAAAATAATATGTTAATATTAATTTTTATGATA